TACACTGATAGAGCTTTCCTTCCAGCCCATTACCTCCACCGTCCTTCCTCGAAGAACTCCCAAAAAACGATGTGCCCCGGCCGAGAGTGACTGCAACGAGTTTCAAAATAAACGTCTCTCTCCCCTTATGGGCTGGATGTGCAGCGAAATTGTAGTTTGCAACTGCTCATATTCCGATGGAAGATCGAGGCGTACCGAATCGCTTAGTACTGCACGATCACACGTCTGTCACGGTGTAGCGAACCATGAACGCACCTCCATGATACAAATGCCAGCGCATCGTTTGTTCAAAGCTAGATTGAAGATATGGAATATTTTCAGGTGTACCGCATCCTCAAGTTGAATGGCTGAAGAATGGGAAACCTTTACAAAACTACCGGTAAGTTAACAAGCTGAACTCTTCTGCGAGGCTCACTTGAGCGTATTTTTCTGCACGTTTCACGTGAGCTGCGGAAATTAGATCAGAATATCCAGCGCTGCTGTAGTTGATGGGGCCACAAGCTCATCATTTTCCGACCGCTTTTCGCAGAAGCAGAACCTTGCAACGTCGAAAACTAATCAATCCATCTATATCCCTCCTTCCAAGTCTTTGATAAAAACCCAGAATTGCAGTACTGAATTTGCCCCAGCATTAAAAATGGTGTTCTAAGATGGATGTCACAAGAAACTTTCTCTCGTCGCTAGTCTGTCATGAGGTGTCATGTTATGGCATATCCTAAGGCTGCGTACACACTTTGCGTCCACCAGCGTCAGCGACTAGGAAGGTATGAATATCGACCTAGCAACTGCCAGCGTCCACAAGGGTCTGCCAGCGTCTCGAGGGCTAGCGAGGCATAGTATCGATCTACGTCTGCAGCGTCTGCTAGCGTCTACCAGCGTCCAGTAGCGTTCATCAGCGACCAGGAGTAGGAAGTATGGGGAAGTAGGAGGGTCGCATACAGCTGGATTAGGCGTAGTGTGTGCAACTGCACCGTACAACTACACTAAACCGTAAATTGCATAACTCTGAGCTTTGCAGCTGCACGGTGCGGCTGCACAGTACAGTTTCACGACGCCTAATCCAGCTGTTTGCTACCCTCTTCCCCGTGTTGATGGAAGCTGCCGCAAAATATGAACGCAGCCTCAGAGCCAGGGCACAACATGAAGTTGTAGAAATTATTTCTTATCTCAAAGTTTTCCCTTCGGGTACGACTTTCTTTTCCTTCCTGCTCATTAAAATATAGTAGTTTTGCGGCGCAGTCAGCAAGGGGCCCTTATCGGAGGGGATTCTTTGCGCCGCCGCGTGACCCCCACACAGTCGCATCGAATCCATTGGGTTCTCATCAGGTTGATCGCATCAGTAGGGCTACGCTCTATGGGTTCTATTTCTCCTCAGGTATTTTACGATTACGAACTCCAGTTACTCAATGAGACTGTACGAAATTTCCCAGCGGAAAGGGTTGCCGGACGGAACATCAGAAGCATAGGAATCGTATACTTTTTTGTGGCCCCATTTTTCGAAATTCAGTCAAGTCATCGAATTTGCTGAAAATCAAGTGGCCAGGTTGATGTGATCTAATTGGGAGAAGGGGGGAGAGTAGTATCGGATCCGTTTCGGGCAAAACTTCGCGTCACCGAATGAAAGCGCTAGCACTACCTCAGACCCACTCTTCACCGGCCAGTGCCGAAAAAAATGAAATTGACTATAACCTCAGGTTGAATAAAACATCCGCCGCTTGAACACGAACATCATAAGATTTTGTACGGAACATTACTACTCT